TGACGAAGAAATTAATTAATTTTCATTTACAAACACTTGTAAAAAAATAGTGCTTTTTTTAAACAATTTTTACGTAATATATCGCATTAAATATATAACTACTAAATTCACCGTGCGCGCGTGTTCTTGTTGCAGAAGTGAACTAATGATCGCTGTGTATGGCAATATCCTATATATTTGTATGAAATCATTATATATGACAATACTTTAAAGCACGACCTGTACGAACATGTTCAAAAATTTGTTGGTTTTTTTTATGTACCGCTTTATTAATTTTATGAAAAATTCCAAAGAAAACTATTCTTTTATTGACGAACAAATTAATTAATTTTCATTTACAAGCACTTGTAATAAATAACGCTATTTTACACAATTTTTATGTAAAATATCGCATTAAATATATAACTACTATATTCACCGTAGCGCGTGCTCTTGTTGCTGAGACGACGAACGAACAACTAATGAAGTAATTCGAAGAGAAACGAATAGTTTGACCAGTTGCGAATTATTCTAAAGGGCGCCATATTTATAATAAGCATAGATTTTTGTTCTGTTTTTGAGGGAGTAGATTTTATATAAATATTTAATAAAAACACTTCAATAACACTTATGACTGGCTTTTTTTATTTTTGCAAAATTCTTTTATTAAAAACAACGTAAATGTTTAATTTTTTGTGATCGGCGTCTATGAGTATTGCAATCCGGAAGCTAACTTTTGTGCATAATGCGAACTGGGTTTACATACAATGGAAAAAATCTGCTTCTTCGATTTATAAAATCAAGGATACTGAAGGAAAAATTGTTGCGAACTTGGAACTTGCAATTAAAAAACAATTAAATTTTTTTTATTTTGCTTCTTATGTAAAAACGAAAGTGAAAAATCGAGACTGGCTCAATGTTCTTTAGAAAAAACGAACAGATTTATCGATAAATCAAATCTGGTGCACTCAAATTTTTATATACATAACACTTTTTCCGTATTATCTTATCTTTGCTATTAAAATAAGAAAAACGTTCTAATTATGAATTAATTGCAACTTTAACTATTAACAATCTCCAAGATATTCCAGAAGAGCACTTTTTTATAAATTTTAACAATTCGTTTTGAAAAGGCCCTTTTTTATCTTTTTTTTCTTTTTTCAATTGCTGAGTATGGAAAACCCGGTAGTAACGTCTACACGCGCGCTATCTAACGGCAGGTGAAAGAAGCCCTTTACGTATACCTACCTCTTTTGCCACTTTCTGTAATCCACTTGACTATATAAATTAAGCAAGCCTTAATTTATACTACAACTTTTTTCCGATAAAGCAACAACACTTCACTTCATGTAGATATATGTTATATATTTTTTTAAAATTTTTATTTTTACTTTTTTTTTCATAGTACAACTTATTTAAATTACTAAAAATATTATCGTTTTATGTTTGTTGTATTCTGTTTTTTACATTAAATTCATTTGTCTTGTCTATGGTATTTCTATTTTATGTTAAATACTTTTTAAGTTTTCTCTCAGATTTCTTTAACATTTTAAACATTTATTGATTTGTTTTCAACAATAACTGTGGGCGTAAAAAATTTAATGATTTTAATCGATTGCTTATGATGGTTATAGGGTGTATAAGTATTTCTTACAGAAATCTTATTTCTATTATTTATATATCTACATATATATAGGTATATGCATGTGAGTGTACGATTGCATGTGTTTAACTATGTCTTTGGCAACAATGAGTTTTGTATAAATTTTCATTTTGATGGAAGAAACAATTCGATGCGTTTTATTGTTGTTATAAAACAAAAAAAAAAAAAAGAAAAAAAGCCGTTATGAAGAAAAACCCTTTTTTTTTTAATCATAAAATAAATATTTGTATACTTGTTTAAATATTTACTTTTTATAATACGATGAGAATAATGCTAATGTTAATGCTAATGATATGCTAAAAACCGCTAGACTAACATCTGGGCAACATCTCAGAGACGCCACACAACTTGCAAGGCATTCTTTTTTTATTTATTTCCTTTTTTGAGAGCAGAAGACTAAGAAGAAAATAAAAAAAAAAATAAATAAAAAAACTAACAAGAAAACACTTTGTCTCTCTCTTAGAAATCATGACCGGTCACCCCATCATCAGAATACAGCTGTATATGTAATGTAAATAACATTTTGGTTTAAACATTTTAATTGATATACGCAGCGAAACTTCAGATATAAAATGTTAGCAAAAGTTTCTGTGGAGTTGGCTGAATAAGATTTCATTATTGTAGCAAGTTAATGTTCATCTGAAAATAAATCTGAAATTACCCACCACCAACGAGTGTAATGAAAACATATGTTTAATTGCAGTTTGCGATTGGGGTCATAATAAAAATTAATTTTGGGAAAAGTATTAAAAGTTTTATTTTCTCCTTTTCTTTTCGAGTTTCAACTAATATTTTAAAGCTGAAAATTATCTTAATTCAAATTTAGCATCAGTTGAGTTTTGTTTTTGGCGAAAAATAATTTTTAAGTTTGATTCTTTTGTTTTTTAAAGTAATAATGAATTAAATTTTTTTTTTTTTTTTTTTTTTATATAGGACAATTTTTAATTAAATTTTTTTGTAAATATTTTCTTTAATTCGAAAATATTTCTATTATATATCTGCTAAATTTTAAAACTAATCTTCTTTTATACATCGATTGTAATGATGTGTTGGAAAAAAATGATATTTTGTAAAATTTAAACTATATTTTTTTTTTGTTTTTGCTTTGAGTAAAAAACTAGTCTCTCAATTTACAAAAATAATTGTTGATGGTTATAGAATGACTCTCGAAAAAATTGATTTGTTTATTTATTTATTTATTTTTCTTTATATCCCGCACCACTTGCAGTACGAGGCTACATTAAGCATGTGCCGATGTATGCAACACAAAGCAGAATGAATCACTTTCTGAATCTAATCATATTCGTCCATCTGTCCGTCTTGTTTTCAATCTAAGATATAGACGAACACTATTGAAAATGATTCCGATCGGATCATCTTTTCGATCACTTCCCATATAATGCTTTAATTTGAAAAGCTATTATATGAATAATAATAGTATGAAGCGAAGTGGTGCAGGGTGTTTAATGATGAGTCGGGGCCAACAACTACAATGATTTTACATGTAAAATATAAATATAGTTTTATGTTCACATTAGCGAGCATACATACGTTATATTCGCCTTAAGGACATCCATCACCGTTAAAGCGCTCTCTCTCTCTCTTGATTGACCGCTTAAAAAAAATTTTTTATGTAGAAATTTAAAATCTTAATGATTTTAATACGTTTTTTTTTCATAATTTTTTCTTTTTGCTTTTTCTGAAAATTTACATATATAATGGAACCTTGATCCAAGTATTTTATATATTTTCTAGTTTAGGAAAACGCAAAAGCCAACTTTTGTTCATTGTGTTCATTCTTTGGAACCGCCCAAAAAAATTGCTCGGAATAAGGTCCGGCGGTGTGGTGATGATGGATATCCCATATTTAATTTAAGGCAAATACAGTCTTTTTTTTTATTCGCAATTGGAATATATTTTGTAAATAAGTATACTACAGAAAATATCTAAATAAATTTATTATGTATATGTATATTTTAAAGAATTTTTTTATAATTTTTTTTTTTTTTCTATTTTTTAAATTCATATATCGACGAATTTCAGTCTTCTTCCGTTTTCCCTTTTCCTTTTTCACTGTGATATATTAAATTTATTAAATTAAAAAAAAAAAAAAAAATTAATAATAATAATGATAATGATAAGAAGAAAGGAAAGGAAAACTCAGTTAATAATCATTAACCAAATCAGGATTCATAATAGCAGAAAACAGAAAATAAATAAATAAAAATTTTTATGTAAAACTTTGATATATAAAAGAGAATCAATTAAGCAACAGATATCCGCTTTTTGTTGACAGCAGCAGCAGCAGCAAGTACGCATGTCCACTATTGAGGAACGGATCAATGTATAATTTTGATCTTTTTTTCGATAAGACGATAAGTTAACTAATTTTAGTTTTAAGCATGGAAGATCACCGCTCTTCAGACTCTATAATTCTCCCCTCGAAAATTCCCAAATGATTAGACCAACTTAATGACACATCGTGCGTACCTTTAGATGAAAAATTGCCCGGAGATTGCTTATTCAATTGAGTTAAAGGTAATCAAACTATCCCGTTGCTACCAAAACCTAACTGCAAAGGATTAGATTATCCCGTTAGTAACCCCAAAATAAGTCAACTTTTACGTACAAAAAAATCATTCTTTTCCTTTAAAACCACTTGAAAGTTGCCCTTAAGGAAGAAAATTTTTGTCAAAATTTGCAATAACTGCGCTAATGCTTCCGCTATGAAATCAAGGGGAATGAGATATGTTAAAATTAATAAGCAAATGGCAAAGTTTGCTACATCCGCTTCCGGTCCTGTACACAATCTCTGGGACGCCGGTAGCTATCGAAATTCATGCATTTATCTGTGTAAAAATAATTATTAAAAAACATAATTGAAAAAAAATCGTTTATTTATTTAAGAAAAAAAAAATAAAAATAAACAAGTAATGAAATTATTAATTATTCAATAATTAATAAAATAAAATTCATCAATTAATATTAATTAAATATAAATATTAAAGAAATAAATAGAAAATATGCACCTAACTAACATGAAGAAGTCTTATTTAAAATTAAAAAGAACGAAGAAGAAGAAGAAGAGAAAAAAAAAACGAAAAATTGTTGTTCTATTTTTCTTTCTTTAAACAAATCTTTGTTTAATATTTTTCTTTCACACAAATGTATATATATAAATATATATTTATATATTCGTGGGTGTGTGTGAAGTGCTTCATATATATATATACATAAAAGACAACAGAATTATATATATTATACATACATCTATATGTATATACATTTTTTTCTTTTTTTTTTGTTAATTATATTTTTACTCAAACTTTTTTTTTTTTTTTTTTTTTTTTTTTATTCTTATATTTGCTTTAAACAAAAAATTTTGAATAGTCGTCTTACAATCCTTTTAGGCTAAAGATAATACTAGGTTTGCTTGATTTATATATGCATAAATGTCTACATATCTATATAGATATATATATATATATATTGATATTTTCTTAAATACATTATATATCATCCACAATTATATTTAATTTCTTTACATATTTTATTGTACTCTTATGTTAATAAAAATTATTCTTATACCTAACAACTATGCTTAAATGTAAAAAAAAGAAAAGAAAACTTTAGTCCTTAAAACTCAAGCACAATAATTCTTAACTACACTAAACAGAGGATATACTTAAAAAAAAATATTTTTAAAGAAAGCGAATACGAAATACATATTAGGGGTTTAGCATTAAAGTCGGCGACTACCGACTTTTTGATATGACGTCAATTTGAGCAATTCGCCTCGCTTGGCAATCATTAATTTACACAAAGTCTTTTCTAAAGTCGCTCGCGTCGAACCGTTACCTTAATTATTGATATTTATCAGTAATGGATGTATTAGCAG